GATCAGTCTTTGATGCCTTTATGTGAACATTGAGCCCACAGAGATTGTCATCGATGTGTATATCTGCGTGGAGTAGGGTTGTAGCTGTGTCGTAACATGTTGGAGAGGAGGCAGTGAATTCACTTACTCTAAGAAAGCCAAAAAACACGATGGTGAATGCTGACAACATCATAAGTTGGTCGATAGGGTGAAGTGAACGAGATGCACGGAGGGCGTTTTTCAGTTTCCGAAGTATACCAATAGTAACAGGAAGTCGTTGGCGGGTAGGCATGCTGTGATGTCGCTTGATTCCTTGTAAGGTTGCGCCACGAAAAAACTGGTTACCGGAATAACAAATGCTACATTGATGTAGGCAGCCATTTTGACATGGGTCGGAACAGCGCCCTCTACTGTAATCTCTGCAAGTTTGTTGTTGTTGGCTGGTTTGTCGGGCATGCGTGTTAGGATCCTGTCCGCTGGTCCATGTGTAGAGATTAGAACGCTGTTGGTTGACCATGTTTGCCGCAAGTGAAGCATTTCTGACAGATTAAGTGACTAGAGTTCTGAAAGCATTCGTAGTCAAGCTCGTTATTAACGTAACTCCAATTTATTTGGCCATGAAATCTTGAGGCGTTTAGACGAAAAGCTCGATCGTAGGCGATCCATGCAGCTGGTTCAAATCGTTTTGCTTTTCTTGCAATGAAGCGTTGATAGTTGAACAGAGGTACGGTTTGATCAGGAAAGTAGTAAGACACATACGCTGCATAGGTCGAAAAACAATCAAGTCATGTTTCAAATGATTTACGCTTTGGTTGGGTTGTAAGTGTCAAGCCTGGGTTAGGGTTGTCGCTGTCTACTGATAGGTGCGTATTGAGGGGTGCCCCGACGTTTGGAAGAATGTTGTCTGGGTGGAATTCAGATAAATCTATGAACTTACTGCGAATGACGAGCGCATTGAGCGTTGATGAATCGACGTACGGCAGTTGTCGATGCATCGGAGAGACGACTGCAGGAACTTTTGATGGTGTCGGTGGAGCAATGTTGCTGACTTGCCCTGTAGCGTGTGCTTGTTGTGCCAATAGCGTGGGTTGTACAGCTGGTTGGTTGTACTGTGCATAACTGTGTTGTTGTTGAGCAACTGGTTGGTTTGAAGATAGACCGATAATTTGTTGGTTTGCTGCAATGAGTTGTGGTTGATTGAAAAGATCGTATGTTTGCTGAGTAGCTGGTTGCGTCAATGTGAATTGGTTATCAGCATTGTTGTTGGTTCTTTGTGGACGACTGGTGACAGCAAAGTCGATTTGTACGGACTAGTAATAGTTGCGGCGTTTGATGTTGATGTTTTTGTCGGCGACGTTGGTTACTATTTTCGTGGCTGTACGTTGTTTTTTGTTCAAAGTAGAAGGTGGCTGTTGGTCTTGAGAAAACCGTGCAGGAGTTTTCTTGGATCGAGTTGGTCTTCCACGTTTCTTCTGTGCTGGCATGATGAATGAGGATGGTCAACTTTCAAAGTTTGTGAGAAAAAATCGTTCAACAGCAAGCAATGAAGCAAGTGTGATAAGACTGATGAGTGAATGCTTGGTCTAGTGGTTAAATAACCAAGATGCAGAGAATTGATTGGTTGGGGATGGGAGGATTATGGAATATACAAAATATGATTGGTTACCAAGAATGCAGGTAATGGAATGTGTACTTAATAACAAAGCATGGTAATGAAACAAAGGACTGGATGTGTAATGCAGAAAGAGGATTATTATAAGTATGAGGGTGATAATTAAAACATAACATTGAACAAAAGACTGGCAACAGGGTGAGGCAAATGAACCCCATGGTCAGGTGTTAAGTATAAATTACGATTGTGAAAACATGATATGTAGGTAGTAGACAGGTGTGGTCGTCCCAGCAGTGTTAACCTCAGATTACTATGTAATCGGCCAATTATGAAACAATGTCCAACGACCGTTGCATATTTTTGCAAGTCAGAGTGATACACCTTGAAGTTTGCAGCGAAATGAGGCAATTGAAAGCGGAACTCATTCTGTTAGTGAATTAGTGTTTTATCTGATGTTGTCTGATGTTGTCTGAAAATGCCGGGAAGGCAAAAGCATGGAGCGCCGACCAAAAGTGGAAGAAAAATTTAAACTGCATTGGTCAAAATCTTTTCATGGGTAAAATACAACAAGGATAAAATCATATATTTCGTATATACTGCAGCGCACATCCCAATGAAGATTAGAGTGCGTAATTGAATTGGGACGTCAAATGATTACTGTCTGTATACAAGTTATATCATGTATGCCTAAATAAATATCTGAAAAACAAATAATGTTTTGTTTCTGTGTAGTTTATTATGTATTTGTAGAACAATAAATTTTGGCGACCAACAATTTTGCACTATTTTTTAACTTACTAAATTTTTCAGTTGGCCACCAACAATTTGAAGTTGCTTGCCAATGGCCACTATGAAAAAAAATTAACTTTGATGGCTTTGCATCATATAGCACAATGTGTGCATCGTATAGCACAATATGTGCATCATAATATAACACAATGTATGCATCATAT